CTCATTAAGATAGGATGATGTCATACTTTAAATTAATGCCGATGACGTCATGCATCTCAATAAGATAGGATGATGTCATAGGTTATTTTGAGCTGGCTGACGTCATATACTTCTTTGAGATAGGATGATGTCATCGTTTATTTGTAGCTGGCAAGGAGCAAGTGATGTCAGAATTTCCTAGAGTTGACGTCATCAAAAAATGTTGAGATCATAATCTTTAAACAGAAAAGTGATTTTTATATAATTAGCTATTTGCTACAGTCTTCTGATTAGATATTGTTTGCTATAGTCTTCTGATTGGATATTGTAGAAACTGTCATGTGTTCAAAATAAAAGCGGGCAAATTTTGAACATGTTGTCTTTGCAGGTTATACTAAATGAAAAATCTTTAATCATTAAATTATTTTCAGTAAAAATCGGTTATAAACAAAACCAAGACACGGAGGTTAACTGAAAAATCTTTACTTCAAAAGAAGGGAAAAGGAGGTTAAGCGAATGCGAAATCGTACTAATTTTTCAGGCAAAACATGAAAACGAGGTCGAAGCTCAGCGAAGCGAAAAACTGCCTATCAAGCAAAAATGTCAATCTTTGTTTACTTGACTCTGTAGAAAGTATTGCACAGGGTATGAAAATTCTATAGAAAACAACAGGTGGTTCTAAAGTCAAACCCTAGCTCTTTTGGTTCTTAAATCAACTCCATTCTTGTTCCTAATGAGTGGAAAGTCTATTTATAAAAAGAGGGAATGAGAGATGCGATCCCCTAGTAACACATGTCTTCTTATTTAGCGCTAAATATCGGATATATAACAAAACACACACACACATACAAAAAGTGGAGCTGAAAACTCTCTATTACAATTTTGACTCACCATTACGAAAGCGTTTTCTCCGTTCCATCTCGAGGAAACGATTAACTATTGAAATCTCAGCGCTTGATGAGCTTATGGTCTTGTCAATTCACGCGCCGTTAGCGTTAGTCAGTTAATTATGCCGGTTAACAAGCCCAAGGTCGAATACAAATTAGTTCATCTCTACAGCTAGACCCAAGGGAGCACTTTGACTTATTATTGTAAAAACACAACAAGGATCAATTTAAACATGCGACAAATAAATTGACAAGACACGAGATACAGTTTTAAAAACTTTATTGAAAACCAGTGACAAAAAGAGTCAAATAAACAGCGATTTGGAAGGGATGGAAATTAATCATCTTCTTCGCCCATGGAGTACTTGTAAGGTCTAACTCGAAATTTCTTATGCCGACGTTTCTTCAGCTGTTTTATTTTCGTTTCATTTTACTTTTGCTTAAAAATTATTTCACTTTACTTTCTATTTTTTTCGTTTAAATTTGATTTAAAGTATCTCGATAATAATTTTTTTTCGTTTAAAGTTTAAAAATAAAATGAAATAACATAATAAATTACGGGGAACTTACAAGATACTACACAATTTTCTTATGGCACTCCTAGGCCACCATACTGCTGTCAATCATAACTACGATCACAAGCAACGAACCTTGAAATAGAGAAACACACAAAACGGATCGAAATCCACAAATCACAAACAATGACCTTTTGAGCCCGTGAAGTAAAGTTCTGTTTCCTAAGAGGTCCGTTAAGATGATTGACAGCAGCGAAAAACGCAATCGTCTGTTGGGTTCTGAACTTCAGAATTCGCATATTTGTGAAAAGTTTGATCCTAATTTGCGGTCCACAGTCTACATGAAAACGCACTTTTTTTCCACAAGATGAAAAATATTCAGTTTTAAGATTTTCCTCATGGTATTTTTCTCTGACTTAAAGGAATAAAATCCTTTGCATTTTGAGACCTAAAAAAGTTTAAAGATTTCTCGCTCGCAAGTTGTGTTCACCAGCACGCACTTCAAACGATGTAAATAGATGAGACGATCGATAACATATTTTTTACCTGATACCGATGTGAGTTAAAAATTCGCTCCAGTTCTGTTTGTCTCACCCAAGACTAACTTTTGTTCATGGAAGATAACTATGCCGCTTTTACAACTCGTCCGAAGTTTTTGTGCCAGCTAAACAATATGGAAACACTGTTCACAGTGATTCCTTGGATATTAAAAAGACTGAACGTGACGCACTATTATGGCTTTGTTTACTTCTGATCACATCTTCAAGCGAAGTCTCTCTTTTCAAGCGATTCATCTCAATGTACAATAATTGACCCTTATATTAGTTAAAATCCTATGGTTCATTTATATTAATGCTGTTTTTGCCCCTCACATTGACTGTGTTCGAATTCGTTCGTATTCAAAACACCTTTACGAAAATAAAGGCCGTATAAGTCATGTGTGTTATGTTTCGAGATAAATGGATTATACGCTTTTTTAAGTTTCCATTTTGCGGTGACTTCAGTTTACATCTCCATAAAATGGTAAAAGAAATATCAAGAAACATCACGAGAGCTAAAAATTTTCAAAGGCATGTTTCTAAAACTCGCTAATGCTGACATCAATATAGCGTGCTTGCTGAATGGGCGAAAACACAGAATTGTGATCACAAGATCTTGTACAAATTTAATGATAAAAGCTTAGCAAGATACAGATACAAACAAAAGCAAACCCCCTGAAACCTCGACGTGGGCTACACTTGTATGCTCTAGTCAGTCACCAAACCTTGTCAGTAATAGCTCCTATTTTCCTCAAGTCGCTCTCTATGAAGCTCCCGGATGGGATGTCCCGGAGAAGCTTTAAACTTGTGTGCGAAATTCTCAGAGTTCCTATTTTTGTCCGTGTCTTCTTTATCCTCAATATCCGAATTTAGACCTCCAAAGTGGCGTGTGTTGCATTAAATAGAAGGAAATATTTAAAGGAAAAGCCAGTCTTCTAACATGGCAAAGTTGTCACGTCCCTCGCTCATGGACGTGCGTCACATCAGGATTTCATCTGCCATTCATCGGCAACTGAGTTGTTCGCTTCACTGACTATGACGGCTTACAATCAAGTCTTCAGCCATAGTGTCGTCAACTGGTGAAATACTTTGCTCATAAATTGTGCTTCTTAATTGCTCATGTACTACATCGATCGATAGTTCACGAAGCGGCCACGGCGTTCCAAACCTGACGCTCACAGTCATCTTTTCAGTCTTTTAGTGTGAACCTACCGTGAACGGCGTGTCGGTTTGAATGCAACGCGAGTATTTCTCTGAGTTTCCCAGCGCCAACATCATCTAACTGACTTAAACTCGAACAATAAAAAAATTATAGAGTGACTCCCATGGTCGAATCGCTTCGAACAACGCAAATAGCCTTCTTCAGGTTCGCAACGCCTTGTGGGTTTTTCAGGGGAAGCGCAGACATGGTACAAAAAGTATCCGTGCAAGGGTTTATGCAAGAGAAAATCCTATGAAACCATTTGTGAGAACATCGTTTCTACGTACCAGACCCTCGTGTTTTCCCTCCCCCGGATGACCTTTTTTTGACACCGACGACCGAAAACCCATTTTATGATTGGGATTGCCGGGCAGCCCAGTAATTATCCCTGAAGACCTTGTAGGTGGCTTGCGGAGATTTAATTGCATGGCGGTCAGTGTAAAACGCAGACTGCGGAGCAGGGGTAAAATGCAGACTGAGAGTAAAATGCAGGCTAGGGTAAAATGCAGAATTAAGATCGACTGCAGACTTTTTAAATACTTGTGCTCCTTCTTCTCCAAATAGGTGAATCATAGCCTCAGAGCAGGCATTTTATTGTATTGAATCATTTTTTGACTCGCCCCAACGCTCGGTCAGTCAAAAGTCTAAATCAATCGCACAGCAAAATACGCCTGCTTTGCAGGCTAGGTGAATTAGCTAGCTGGTATCAGTTACACACCTGGCTTCCTTGTCGAAGTACATTGCACATTCGCCAGAAGTTTCAATGAACGTCGAAACAGCTTACATCCGCCTACCTTGATTTGCAATACTTTCATTGAAGGTCATCCAAATCTCCTGCAGAGCATCTCTGTTTGTCGTTGGAATTATTTACTCCCATTTTTATCGCCATAATTCTTTCTTTACAGTATTTTGGGTCAGTGTAAACATTGTGTTGTACCAATTCACAGTCATGTGTATCGAAAACTGGAGCGTGAGGTCTCTCGGACAATGGATAATGGAAAGTAAAGCATGCTCGGACGAAAAAAAAAAGGTTCAAGATTGCGATTATGTTTTTGGGTCGTCGACGAAGTTCCAGAGAAGAATGAATGGATTTTTGAAAGCAGATATATGTCGTCAAGGAAGTGTTTGTTTACATGTATTTTGCGGGATTTTATTTGCCCTTAAACCCTTCTGCGACTACAGTTTATGCTCGGTCTGCATTTTACCCCAGCCTGCGTTTTACTCTCCGTCTGTAGTCTGCATTTTACACTCAGTCTGCATTTTACCCCTGGTCCGCAGTCTGCGTTTTACACTGACCGATTGCATGGTAACGGCAGCCCTTACGGTTAGAGTAATATCATAAAGCGGTTGAAGTTTCGTCCGGCTAAATCACCTTCAACGTTAAAGAACGCACTTTACTGAGTCCCTAATTTAAAGTCAACATATGAACTTCAGTAAAGCATTAACGAGTTTGTCTTAGGAAAGTGTCACTTAAAAAAGAGAGATCAGTGTATCTTAAAACTAACTGAGTGGATGACTCATCAGCTTGGAAAGTAAGACGAAAAATTGCTTTTCAGTTTCAGTTCAGAGAGTATTTAAGACAAGTTCTCCAGTGGATTACTATCCTGATACACTAATGGAACTTCAGTGTGTCTTTAAGGGACGGCCTCGTCCTCGTGTTGCGTGGTACAATCTAGATAGTAAACTAATCATCAACGGATCTGAAAGCTTTTATCTCTACGAGCAGCTGTTTGGAGAGGACACCTTATCTTCTGTTCTTCGAAATCCTAATATCCAAGAAAAACACGCAGGGGCTTATAAATGCACAGGAATGAACAACATTACTGGATGGTCGAGTGAAAACACTGGGATAATTGAAATACGTTATCGTTGTAAGTGATCTGATTACTTTAAATAAAGCCACTAATAAACCGGGGCGAGTAAAACTCTTACGACCCCTTTTTTCAGTCAGAGCCAGGTTGTTCAAAACCACCGGGTTAGAGCAAAATTTGATTTCAGATGTTAAAGTTTAGAAAGCAAAGTCAGTTTAATTTTTTTTTTCTACAATTTGATGAATGGATGCTTAAAAAACTAGGGAAACCTTATCTATGAAAGTGCTTTTAAACAGAAGAAATATTAGCCGTTGGCACTAATCGGCCCTCGAACAACTAGATCCAGGTTTATAAATGTGTACCAGAAACATAATGTTGGGGTTGTCCTGTTGCAATGAACAGAATGGAATGGAATTAATGATGGGTGCTTCATGTTTTAAAAACCAGCTTCTGACCTCCACTAACACGAGACGTCCAGAGTGAAATGATTATAAAGGATAAACCAGTCGGTCACCTGAGGTAGATGTATCCTAGCTACATCAATGATGTACTTGCCAAATAATATTACGTGTTCTAGGTAAGAGCGATCGTCCGGACAGTTACGAAAAACCACTAAACAAAACTACCCTTAAAAAGTAACAAAAAAATGTGTGGAAACTATTCCCCTAGGAATGCAGTGACACAAAGCCCGAGGAAAGGGATCAGACAAAAAGTAGAACACGGAATACCTTGCTACATAGAAGACGCCAAAAAAGCAGTAGACCTGCACCGTTCTAAGGGACTGTGCAATAATTACCTGGAGGGGGGTTGGAAAACTAGAGATGGGGCATAGGCGAAAATGACAACAAGAGAGAGGGGGGGTTGGATGTAAAATTTAATACATACCGGGGGGGCATTACTTTTTTATTCCTTTTTGCAAACTGGAAAAGTAGTGGAAGAGTTATTACAGTTCAAATATAAATACTAACGGAATAAAACTGACAAATTTATCAACTCTACTGAAGGTGTTCTAATCTATGAACCGTTGTTTTCCTATCTGTCATGCAGTAGGAAAGGAATGCCTCTGCTATATATGTTAAAACAGTGCTATTTTATCTGCACTAGGATTTAATAAAACAGGAAACTTTAATTAAAAGTTGCAAAAGTAGCACTATAATGTTATTCAATGAAAAAGAAAGATGGCAATGTTAGCACACATGGCATCATAATTCAGCAGAATGAAAAACCCAACCGTTGAATTTTAATAGCAATACAAATTTAAAGTATGGTCAATAAGACAGGTAAAAGATTTAACGGCGCTTACCAACAAGCTGCTGAAAATGTATCTAAAGCAAAAAGGTCTTAAGATAAGTGGAAGCAAGGCTGAGTTGATTGACCGAGTTCTCACCCACGCACCCGGAAACCTTAGTGCCAGAGATGCTGTAGAAGATGAAGAATCTCCCAATTCATGCGAAGACAACGCAAGCTCAGAGTTCAGTGATTCTGATGACTCTTCAAATGACTCTTCGACGTATGTCGAAGAGTCATTTGAAGTGATGTTTGTACCGGAGGAGGAAATCCAACAAGTAAACTAGGTATGAGGTTATCAATGGGAGGAGACGTTTTTCAAGAGGGGGGGGGGGGTTAGCCTTAATATTATCATTATGTGAGGGGGACATATTTCACCCATTTCCTAACCCCCCCAGGTGATTATTGCACAGTCCCTAAACCTCTTATTTCACTGATCCCCTTTAATCTGCACCTCCATTGTTTTCAGGGATTGGGGCATTGTTATGTGACAATCCCTATTGTTTTCCCGGCTAATCAAAAACACTCTTTCAAATTGGTGCGGGATCGCCTCAAAAAAGACAAAATTTGAGAGGATGTAGGTGTAAATACCTAAATACATATATACCGTGACCTAATAAACGCCCACTAATAAAAGCCTCTTATCTATATCTCAACGCTGTTAAAATTATATTAGACGCCCATCTCTAATAAACGCCCGCTTTCTCAATAATAAAATTGGAAGTTGCCAATGTTGGTCTTAAAGGAGGGAAAGTAAGAAGAGATAAACCTGTTGGAGCAAGGGCGAGACAACAGCAAAATAAACTGACATATGGTGTAGCCTCCGGAAATCGAGCACAGGCCACATGGGTCGGAGGCGAGAGCTGTTACCACTGAGCCACCCTTGCGTTCTTAACCTGTTTAGCAGACACAATCAGTTAAAAGAGTGCTATATTAAACACCCCACGGTTGCTAAAGGATTATTTCCATCCACTCGCTAAGGGGTCATTAAGGACGGCGTGTTACTGAAGAGAGTAGGAGAGAAGGCGTAAAAGAGAAAAGTAGACGGACAGCTACAATCGAAAAGTAAAAAAGCGTGATCATCGTGATGCCCCATTTGCCATTTGCCACATTTATATTGTCACAAATACTCAGGACTCAGTATGGGAGGGACTGGAAATAGGGCTGTACTGGCGCTGCACAAATGCAACGCAGCAATGATTTGATTAAAAACATTATTTGTTTATAATATTTTTCACATTTTCGAATATAGGTATGTCTAGCGATAGCGTGGATATCTCTCCTCGCCAAGTTTCGGTGACAAGCTTTAACAACGTCAGCTTTAAATGCCTGGCTAAAATAAGACCAAGCGAATGTATCAACAACGAAATTCAGTGGCGTTTTTTCGAGAGGCCCTTAAAGTCCGGTGAGAAGTATGAAATTCAAGAAAGGAAAACCAAGACAAAATGCAAAAGAGTTTTAATGATCACCATTTTTAACATTACTTATGCTGATGAGGGGACGTATGCTTGTTGGTGGACCTGCGAACGCAACTATCATAGTACTGACGGCGTGGGTACATCAATGCAGTTGAAAGTACTATCAGGTATGAATAATTGTGTGATAATTAGCAGTGCATTTTTAAAAGATGTTAGAGTAGGTGAAATTTTTCGTTACAAAGAAGAGGGGGGCAAAAAAATAAATGCTGAGAAAATGTAAGTTAATGACAGATGAAATTTGCAACTTGAGCCTATCCAGTGTGTGTCGGTTACAAGAAGTCTTTCTCTTCATTTTGAGTTATTATTTTGCAAAGAAACGATCGTGCAATGTGTAGTTCCAGAAAATATCCATACCCCTCACGGAGGGCAACCAGGGTCTGATAGATTTTGCTGGCATAATTTTTGGCATAATTCGTCATTACGAGCATAACTTTCAATGCATTTATTTCCCGAAAAAAGCACTGCTAGCATAATTTGCACTTCTGGCTAGTTTTGCAGCGCAAAATTGTCATACAACCAATTTTTTTTTTTTTGACCCAAGATAATTATAAGTGTTACGGGCAAATTTAAGTAACAAAATCAATTTTTTGTCCTCTTATTGTCGCATTCACGGGACCTGGCTCCCAAAGGTAATGACTTAGGATCTTTCCACAGGACCAAGACATGCGCATAACTGACTAACTCTGTTATCCAAGATAGCGTCCGTGTGCTGGTATTTTCTTTGAATTTTTGTAGTTTTCAGAGACTGAATTATGCACACTTAAGGTTACTACATGTAAATAGGGTAAATGTTTCTCCCATTTACTTGTTTGTTGCATTGTTACTGAGGTATTTTTACCAAATTTGAAGAAAAAGGTAGAAGCATAGTAGCATATTATGCCACTTTTCGAGTAGAATCTCAAAGCCTAAGGGCAAGGGAAATTCCGTGGGGAGGGAGGGGAGGGGGGAAGTTGGTTCAAAAACGAGGCAATTACCGAGGGGGTGAGAGTGGCTTTTCGAGGTGTTTTCCCGGAGGCTCTGGGTAAGATTGGTGAGTTATTAAAAAGCAACAGCTGCTCTGTTGAGCAAGCTGTCAGTTATTTCCGACGATCTTTTATTTATGGACGACTGAATGTGTTTTGAACCAATACCAATTTAAGCACACGTACCAACTCCCGTTTAGTGGCAGCCATGGACAGCTGTTTTGCCCTTATTGGGGCTCATCAGGGTTATGGTTTTGCGCATGTGTAAGGTACTGGCCATACCGCAATCTCGTTCCCAGAGTCCGCGCGTTACCTTGTCCAGCGGAACAAGAGTAAAACGGACTCTGACAACGAGATTGGCCATACCGCGGAGTTGGTACGAGTGCCTGAGTGCTTATATTGGTGTGGAATGTTTTTTTTTCACATCTTATGCGATAGTATATAATAATAATAATAATAATAATAATAATAATAATGATAATAATAATAATAATAATAGTAATAATAATAATAATAATAATAATAATAACATTAAACAATTTATATAGCGCCAGAATTTTTTTTTTAATGACGACAAATTAACAGTCAACATTAATACACAACAATAGTAAATAATAAATTAGTAGGTCGGTAAGTAACAAAACTTAAATACAGCTTCGACACACAATAATAAACAACAAAAAATTATAACGGTAAAAATAAAAGGTATTGGAGGATAAAAGCCCGTCAGTTGCCACAGATATTTTTCAATGCGATATTGTTCAAAAAGCTTACGTAAAAATTCATCTTAATTAGGTTTCGTTGCGATGTTCTTGCAAGTGTATAAGTAGTTCTTTTGCAATAAAGCCAACAGAAGGAGTTTGCTTTGACTTGATTTTCACATTTGCAATGGAAAGGAATCTTCGAATGTATTAAATAAAATCTGCTTGTTTGAATCAAAGTTGTACATTCCCTTTATGATATTCATTAAACCACCTTAAATGTTTGGGAAAGAATTTCTTTGGCTCTGGACAATTGTATAAAGGCAAGAAAGGATAAGAGCTTTATCCTCTCTTGATAAAGGTCGTGTTCAATTGAATCAGGATTAACTAGAAATACGTAAATCGTAGGACCTCGCGAAGGACTTCGGGGGAACGGCAAGTAAAGCCGAGAAGAAAATTTGTAAATCTAAAAATTGTAAGCTATATATAAAACATAACAAAACTGTTATACCTAAAATGAAAACTAAAGGAAAAGAAAAAGAAAAAAAAAAGAAGAAAAGAAAAGAAAAGAAGCAAAGAGAAAAAGGTTATGCCTGGAATCGAGCTGGGACCTTCGACTCACCGGGCCACGTGGAAGACA